TGCCAAATAAGCTTTTGATGGACCGTGGAAGAGATCCCATCAACTGTTTGTTATATAGATTGCTCTGCTCAAGGTTTTCAACTTGAATTTCTACCTAGGCAAGCATGGGGGCTAAAAGGATTGTGTTACTAAAACGTGGCGTTCGATAAATTTGAAATCTGAAGTCTAAAAAGTTAAAAAGATATTAAACGTGTCTGAAATCTGAAAAGAGGTATAAATGTTTTTCTACTTTTTAGAGGCTTTGAATCTACAAATTTGTTTGTATTCAATCAACCATTTATCATCTGAAATTTACTGGCTTTACTATTTTACCCCTAAAATATACTATTTAGAAATGTTGAATTCAATTTGCATTATCTCATAAAAAATAATTTTCAACCTCAAAATAATATTGTAACAATGTAAATAAAAAATAATAAATTAATAATTAAAAATTAAAAATTACTAATTATTAATCATTAAATGAAACGATTAAAATTAAAAAAATAATTAATGATTATAAAATATTAAAATAATTAATAATTTATACAAATAAATATTAAAATAATTTTTAAAATTTAATGAAATAATTAAAATTTACTAGTTAATAAAAATAATTAATAATTAGTAATGTTTAATAAAAAATAATTATTAAATATTAATAATTAATAAAAAATATTTAATAATTAATAAAATAATTAATGTTTAATAAAAATATTAAAATAATTAATAATATTATTATTATTACTATTCACCGAACCGCCGCTGTAAGTTGCAACGGTAGTGGCAGTGGCAAGAAGATAGGAGAGAGAGAGAGAGAGAAGGAACCGTCACCGCTGCAGCGATGGTGAGGAAAAGACAAAGGGGAAAGAAAGAGAGAGCGAGAGAGAAGGAATCGCCGTACTGCAACTTGCAGCGGCGGTGACAGAAAGGTAGGGGGAGAGAGAGAGCGGCAGCGATGGTGATGGGAAGGCAGGGGAGAGAGAGAGAGAGAGAGAAGGAACCTCCGCCGTTGCAAGTTGCAACGGTGGTGACGGGAAGGCAAGGGAGAGAGAGAGAGAGAGAGAAGGAACCGCCCCTGCAAGTTGCAGCGGCGGTGGCAGGCAGTGGAGCTTCATTGGGTTGCAAATTCGCAGTGAGGTTCGATTCGAGTAAGGTTGTAGACTCGCAGTGAGGTGCAACGACGGTGGTGGCGGTGGAGCTTCCTTAGGTTGCAGACTCGTGAGGTTCGATTCGAGGTACACGAAGGACAAAAAACATGTAATATTAAAATTTTTTTGAAGTTATTTATGTCTTTTAAATACCTCTGAATTACGTCTGATCCATTAAGCAACAGCTCTATGTCTTAAAAATTAAAATCTGAAATCCAATTTCAAACCTCTAATAAGAGGATATACCAAACGCTTGGTGGCGTCTGAAAAACAACATTTTTAAATTTAGACATCTAAAAAGTAGAATCAAACGCCACCTAAGAAATTTCTCTCGGGGGCCAAAAAAATACAGCTCTCGCCTCTCTGATGGAAATGTACTAAAAAAGGTTCGACTCCGAAATGTAAGAAGTCAATAAGTTACGAAATTGATTAAAAATAATCAAACCGAGGAAATAACTCAGATAAAACCTAAAAAGTGTAGGGGTTCGTCCACGAAAAGCCCAAACCTACACATTTTAATTAGATGGACGAATCATAGCCCAATTTAGCACCTTACCTAAGCCCACTTACGGATATAGATCCATTATGGTTTCTGAAGTCTGATTCAAGCTTTATTACTACCAGACTGCGACAACTAGTGGACCACTTCAAGTTCTTGTGTTCATTTCATGTTGGTGGTCTACTCCGATGGTTATATAACACAAGTGGATTAATTGCACTATTGTAAGTGTGGACTCTCCTGTGTAACTCAGCAAAAAACACACCCTGCGCAGAGTTGAAGATGGTCCTTGGCGGAGGACCCTCACCCTCACCCGACCGTGATGATGATGATGATGGTGTCCGACTTTATGGATGGAGCTAGGATAGACATTCTGTTGCTTGAGCCCCACGAAATCAAATATCAAACTGTCAATGCTCTGTCAGAAGGAGAGAGAGAGAGAGTCTGGAGTGGGACCTCCATCCGTGAATCATTGCATTCTCTACCAGTGGGACCCCTTCCAATGACCAAAGACTCGCAAATGGGAACCCCATTTTACAAAGTCAAGAAAAAAAAAAATCAGTAGCAGTAAAATGGATAGGAGGATCCTGGGTTTTCCCTCATCCAATGAGTTGGTGATGGTAATTGCAGGAAGAATATATTCCATTGGATAAACCCAACAGGGAGACCCACTTGAGGGGGGCATTAGGATTTGTTTGGTAGTTGAGAATGACAAACATATCAGTAGATGTACACTTTTAAAAAAAGGACATGTATGTATATCCCCTAGCTGCTAATGTCATTCAATTATATGTGGAAGAGGATATTTGTTTATTCATCTCTTACCAATGTACCTAATGCCATGTACAACACAACTTCCAGCCAACCCTGAAATTACAAAAAGAAGAGGAAGAGAAAAAAATGGGAAAAACAAAAGGGTATAGTTCAGTTACAACCCAAATGAAGATCCAGAACTTGCTTGTTGTGATGGTAGGCTGGCCCCAGCTCCCAAGGAGACTAGGACAGTTGTTCTGAATGAGGACCCAGCACCTCAGAACCGAACTATTCTGATAACTTTGGAGTTTATATTATAATCCCTAGCTAATAACTGTACTGGGATGTAACCTCTCAGAAGGATGAGGATTCATCCAAAGTTCAATGGAGGATAATTTATAATTTTGGGGGCCTCTATATATGAGCCAAACCAAGGATGCCTCCATGAAAGAACATACACATTAACGTTTACTCTTAAAAAAGTATGTAGAAAGGGCCCCATTTTTTTTCCTTTTTTTGGTTTGTGTCAAGTAGGAAGTAGCAAAGCTAACACACAATGGGCTGCCTATACAAAAACACAAAAATGGGCATGGATTTGCCGCAATCACCATCTTGTTGCAGCAGTCAAAGTATCGGTAAGTATTGGTCCATATCGGCCGATACATATTGTATCGGGAGCTTTTCTATATGTCCTTACAGGTGATGTATCAGGGTTTTGACCAGTTCAGGGGGCGGATGAATCTTAAACAGGCCCCTTTAAATCAGATTTGAACTAAAAAAAACTACCAATACTGTCCAATACACCTCTACCAAAATATCAGACATATCAATATTTTGAACTTTTGCAGGTACTGATGATAGACTAAGTGACCAACTCATTTGGGTTTTCTTAAATTTTTGTTAGAATTGCTTACGGCAGTGCGGATAATTCATAAAGTATGATTTGTTAATACTGAAAGCTTCTGAGTTAGAAGATTTGTTTGGGAGGATTGTTCTTCATATCGAGCTCTGCATGGGATGCCAGAGCAATGGTTGCGTAGATGATAATGAAAATTTTGATAGAAAAATAAGTCCAATGAGACAATGATGATGTGTATGAGGAATATTTTTTATTAGGATATGATAGAATATTAAACGGAAGGGAGGCAGAACCCAGGGAGAATGAAATGAGACAGGAGGCAGCAAATAATTAATTCAAAAACAACTGCAATTGTCCAATGCTATATTTTATTTCATAACTTGTTTTATGGGCGAAGTGGTTGCTCTTGAAACCCCACAAACGTAACGTAATAATAGTAGGGTTATTTGAGGGAGAAGGGAAGTATATGATCTGGGTTTTGTGCTGCCTCTTCAGGCTTAGTTTGAAAAGAGTATAAATACAAATTTGTAGAGTGTAAAACCTTATTTTTTGTATGTATTTATACTATATATATTTGTATTTGTACTCTTTCCAAATTGAGCCTCAATGCTAAACCTTGCATTTGCACCGTTATTTGTACTCTTACCAAATTAAGCCTTTAAAAAAAAATTAGGATAAGTGCATCTTTCAAATGGGGTAATATAGGTAGTTTGAAAACTATGATGTGGCAGGCTAAGATGGGTCAGAAACGCAATAGGCGCTTAAAAAAGTCAAAATTTTTAGTTTATTCAAAACAGGTTTATTTCCTAAAAAAAAAGCACTATAAGTGTTTATTGTTCTAGCCTAAAATAAGCATTGTTTCTAATAAGTGCTAAAAAATAAACAAATCTCAAACGGGGCTTAAGAAGCTTCAAAAGGATAGCTCAATGAGGGTTCCTTGTTAAGTGGTTAGTAGTCACACCTCACAGTATCACACTTAAAATTGGATTGAAAAAAGGTCAGTTCTCCCCTCCCTACATCCCCAACTGTGTCTTAAATGTTAATGGAATACCACTCACTGTTTGTTTCTCCATGGAAAGACGCTTTCACTGTTTCTATGGGTGTTAATGGACCGGTTTTGAATTGGACCCCGTCCAGTCCAAAATCAATTTGGAAGGATTGGACAGACCTACAAGATATATTGGATTGAACCAATCTGGTCTAAAATATTTATTAGATTGGATTGGACCTGGTCCGTCCGTGACAAATTTATATTGGATTAAACCAATATCTGATCTATTGAATAAGATAAGAATATATGTATCAATAGACCAAGTTTGGGTTAAAACCAATTTAAAACAAAATGAATTTGAACAGATTAAACGATCTAGACATTGAATTGAACCAGTCCAAATTGATCTAAAGCATTCATTGAATTGAATTGGACCTGGTTCATTTATAATGGACTCACATTGAACTGGATCAAATTAGACCAAATCCAGTCCAATTGACAACCCAAACTGTTTCTCTCTCCTCCACATTGATCATTGAACTGAGTCCCGGTGATAATTCCAACAAATGGGATTATGGGACAGACAATACATGGGATGGAACTTGGAAGGCCGATACAATACAAAGAGAATCCTTGCTGTAACACTCCATAAAGTTTTTATTTTATTGGTCAGCCAAACTCAGCCTCAGTGTCAGGACCTTCTATTGGTCAAACCCTCTCTCTCTCTATATATATATATTTTATATTTGTATTTCCTTTTGAGTAAAGTTGCCTATTTGGACTGTGGTGATGAGCCCAATCCTCACGCGTCAACAAAATTCACGGGAATTAAGACTTCCTTCCTTCCGCTTCCTCTGCCTTCTGGACAAATATTCCGACACATTCTTTGCGTTTTGGCCTCTTGGTAAAAGAATTTACAGCTGCAGTTGATAGCGTCGACTCCCTCACCCCATAGAGCAGCTTCTCTCTCTCTCTCTCTCTCTCTCTCTCTCGTCTAAACTCAACACTCCAAGAGTCTCTCTCTCTCTGCTCTCGTCTTGCGTCACAAACTATTACATCTCATATCTACACGATTATAACACCCCACACAAGCTTCAGATCTGGATTCCCGCTACTCCCCACCATGGATTCCGAGCAGCGCCGCAAGAGAAAGCGACTCCTCCCCCTCCGCAGGCCCTCCTTCCATTACCCCTCTCTAATTTGGCCCCTCTTCCTCTGTTTCTCCTGCTTTGCTTTCTTCCTCTTCGATGGCTTCTCCCTTCGCTCTGCTGCCTTCCGCCCTATTCTTATCTCCTCCCATATATCGTCTCTCTCCTTTTCTGCGAGCAATTCAATTCAAGATTCAACTCTGGGATTGCCTTCCTTTAGAATCGAGGATCGAGTCTTATTCCCGGACCATATTTTGCTGTTTGTCTCTAACTCCAGGAGTACCGGTTCTAGCAGTAGTCTTTCTTATCTGCTGCGCTTGCATCAGGATGGTGAATTGGATTGCGTCTATCAAAAAATCCGGAACAATTCGGATAAGGCCATACAGACGAGAAGCCAAATCTCCGCTCCTGCTCTGTCGGTTGACCAATACGACGATTCACGATCAATTGTTCGGTGTCCGTTTCCGCCGGCGAATTTCTCAGTTGCGATCAATTTGCGGAGGAAAGGACAGCATGGACGCGGTGACAGGTGGTTTGTACAGATGGATCGGTCGGTTCATTCGTGGGAGACTCTGGTGTATGGTGCAGCTTTGGATAGGGGCACGGCTGTCGTCTTTGTCAAAGGCTTGAATCTTCGGTCGTTCAGGGAATCGGATCCAACCCAATTCAGTTGCCACTTTGGTTTGGGGGATTTGGATAAAGGAAGCGGTTTTTCTCTCAGGACTCACGCCGTTACAGCAGCTCAGGAAGTCGTCCGGTGCTCCCTCCCTCTTAGCATCAGAAAGAATCCCGATAAAGCTCAGGGAATCCGAGTCACCATCAGTGTTGCCTCCCATTCCAATACCAACCATCGAGCTGCTTCTGCTCGCGTTCCTCTGCCTTCGGTCGCTAAACTTTTTGACTCCAACAACTCAGAAGGCAAACAGAAGAGTAGGACGAATAAGAGGAAGAACTATGAACTTTGCGCGTGTACCATGCTCTGGAACCAAGCCTCGTCGCTTCGGGAGTGGATTGTCTATCACGCCTGGCTTGGTGTGGAGCGCTGGTTCATCTATGACAACAACAGCGATGACAACATTAAGGAAGTAATCGACGAGCTAGACAAAGAAGGTTACAACGTCAGCAGGCACATATGGCCATGGATCAAGACCCAAGAAGCTGGGTTCTCCCACTGCGTGCTCAAGGCCAGGGATGAATGTAAATGGATTGGATTCATGGACGTTGATGAATTCTTCTACTTCCCCTTCCCGACTTCTCAACACCGTTCCATGGGCTATCCTGGTCAGCATTCATTCCAATCCCTGGTTGCAAATTTCTCCTCCTCGACGGTAATTGGTGAGATCAGGACTGCCTGCCACAGCTTTGGGCCATCGGGATTAAGCACACCCCCGTCGCAGGGAGTGACCGTGGGTTATACCTGCCGGCTCCAAAGCCCAGAAAGACATAAATCCATTATCCGTCCAGAAGCTCTAGACGATACCCTACTCAACGCGGTGCACCATTTCCGTCTCAAGTCAGGGTACAGATACATAAACCTACACCAGAGCACCGCTGTGATAAACCATTACAAGTATCAAGTTTGGGAAGTCTTCAGAACCAAGTTCTTCAGAAGGGTTGCCACCTATGTTGCCGACTGGCAAGAAAATCACAACGAGGGATCAAAGGACAGAGCACCTGGGTTGGGGACTGAGGCCATTGAGCCACCTAATTGGCCACTTCAATTTTGCGAGGTCTGGGACACAGGTCTCAGGGACTTCGTCATAGCTAACTTGGCCGATCCTGCTTCTGGGTTGCTGCCCTGGGAGAGGTCTCTGATGTAAACAAAACTACCGTGGTCGTGCAGCTTGTCTGCCCTTGCAAAACGAATCACACACACAACCAGCCATTCTTTCTCTTCATTGTTTCACTTTTTTTTCTGTTTTTTTTTTTTTTTTTTCATTTGCCTGACATGAAACCCATAAGAAGCCATAGAAGATATAGAGAAACAGAGTTCTTACAAAATTGTAATTCTGTAAACATGTTACGGGATTTCTTGTTCATATGCTCCTTGAATGATTTTATTTATTGATTCATTTTCAATTTTTTGTTCTTTTGATTGCACATGATCATCGTCAAGCTGTGTATTTATTTGGTCATATCAGAAATCATGGATAAAAAGCTCAGCAGTCATCCAAACACTTTCTTGATTATTATTATTATTATTATTATTACTATTTATTATGCTTATAATAAACATTCTATGCGGTGTAGAGCTGTAAAGAGTTGCAAAAGAAGATCTTAATCAGCAAAGGAATGTACGAGCAACTAATGTAGTAAGAAAAAAGCGAAAACGATTCGCAATTGGAACTACAGCGTGGAAGTCAGAATACAAGTCACATGGATGTTATCATTCTAATGATAAGAGAAATGGGAAAACATTTTGTTTACCCTCAACAATAAGATGCCCACTTCGTAAATCACAGTTCATATCCTTCTACATTTACTGTTTTATTCAGAAGCTACATAAAACATACCCCAGAGATCATATCATCCGATAGAATCCAAATGAGGTTGCTTCCTGAATAAAGAGAACATAATAACCAAAGCCATATTTATCCAATGTTCTAGGAGAGCTCTATAAGATAGTATAAATTAAAATCCCTAAATGAAACACATTGTCTGAAAACCTTGGCTCTTACAACACCCAATAGGAGTATGGAAAAAAGAAAATCAAAATGAATAGAGGTCTATGGAAGGTTACATTGTAAAATTTTAAGGAAAAAACAAATTCAATATGAATTTTTTGGCCATAATGGGAACTCCTCACTGGTTTTGATTTTGAGATTCCTCCTTGTCAACTTTCTGCATAACGTGAAAATGGCAATCCATGTTAGTATCTTTTATTGATAATACAGCAGCATATAAGAACAGTCACCAAAACAACATAAATGCAAATGACTAGGGCAGGAAACTCCTCACAGACTATCAATAAAAGAAATCTGTTAGTTTGATACTTAGTCTGACATTTGACAAATAACTAGAGGAAACATACAACAGACACAACAAATGAAAAACATAACCATCAAATAAAACAAGGCCTAAATCCTACCAGCAATATAGATCAAGAAGGTCTCAACCACAATGTAAAAGAAAATGCTTGATCATCTTCACAAAATGATATTAAGGTAACCGAGTAATACTAGATAGACACAAACAAGTTGCAGACTTTGGAAAATGGCAACCAACGCAAGGAATTCTAAAAAGACATCAATGAAGATGTTCTGACGATCCAAAGAAATAAGAAACCTTCTGATTGATACTTCAAAGTTACTTTGCAAGTTTGCATTAGCTGAATATATCTTGCATGTAAAATATTTAAGAGGTATGAGTAAAGGTTTAAAGACCAAGTTAGGTAAGACTCTTCTTCCTAGGGATATCCATAAAAAACCGAAAAACCGAACCGAACCACAAAATGCGGTTAACTGAACCGATCGGTTTGGTTTTGGTTTGGGATTTTTGAAAAACCGAAGGACCGGTTCGGTTTTCGGTTAACCTACAAAAAAACCAACGGTTAACCAAACCAACCGGTATATAAATTTTTATGTATATTTTATATATATTTTTAATATGTCACATATTTTCTATGTATTACATATAAATATATATTCATTATCTTTTATTGCACGAAAACATCTATCAAATTTTACAGTAGAAAATTAAAAATGTAAGAACTACACATAGATATAAACAAAGAATGATCTTTAATAACAAATAAAGGAGTGGAGAAACATGATTATTTTGACAAGCATGACACATTTCCCTCACAATCATTCTATGCATCCTAAGTTCAATCGCAAATTACTACTTCCAAGTTCCACTTCAAAATTAAGTTGGAGGATACCAAGTCAAAGTGACACTTATACCTACATCGTGCCCACTGCAAAAAAAACACCATGAAAAGGGAAGAGATAGGTAATTATAAGTCGAGTGAAAGATTATGGTGCAAAGCAAAAGTTCAAGTCAAAAGGCTAATAATATATAACTAGTTGAATTGACATACCAGTGTGTATTAAAGAACAAAGAGGGAACCCCCTTCCATCCTGCTTGGAGACAAATAGGGAAATAGAATTAACTGATCTTTGAATCAAGAAAACAAGATGTTCACCCAGATACCAAGGCTCTAGCCTCTCTAAGGACATCTACTAGTCTGCAGTCACCACAACAATCAAATATTCACTGTATTGCCTACCTTGCATTCTACTCTTCCTTACTGCATCCAAACCCAGAAAGTGAACTGACATGAAACATTATAATAGAAATAGTGATTGAGCTCTAGTCAAGTTCCTCTCCCACTTAACTCAAGAAGGCAAACATATGAATGACAGAGCCATTATGGGCCAAATTCCAGGGAGGCCACTCCCTCCTCAAGAACTCCAATCTTGACTAAATAATAGCCTAAAAACTACAGAAATCATCTACAATGATTTTGTCATTCCTTTCTTCCAAATGCTCCTCAAAATCTCCAAAAATTCAACACAAGTTTCATTATTGCAACTACCAAAGCAAACTTATTAGAGGAGCATCTCATTATGGTGAGCCCAAGAAATTCTAAGGAATCAGAGACATGGTTTCAAATGCTAAAAGCAAGGTAATAAATCCTCCTATGATTTTCTGAGGAAATCAGAGAGCCATCAGCCATGAAATCAGAGAGACAAGACCTACCAAACCTCAATATTTCGACCTCTACAAAAAAGGATTATGGCTTAGATTGACCAGAAAACTAGATTCAGCATGATCAACTATGATGCCGTTTTGCAAGTCTTTTTAGGAAGATCTTCTGACAGCCTAGAAGGCCAAAAGATGTAATGAGCTTTTAGGGGCTTGTCTTTAAAGATCTAGACAGTTTGGTAAGTATCCTAGTCTACAATGATCTAAAGAGCTGTTAAGTGAAAGATTTTTGGTGCAGAAAGACAAGAAGCTTCATTTGAAGCTTCCAGATCCAGATTTTTGGCCATTTTGGGCTTCCATGAGCTTTTTAGGGCATAGGTCTTTCTAGCTTCCTGTCTTTCATTTCCAAACAGAGAAAGACCAAATTCTAGTCTTCCAAGCTTTGAAAAATCTGAAAAACCACACAAGAAGATTTGCCAAATGCCTCCTATATAAACCCAGGAAGAAGAGACCCAAAAGTGCAGTTCAGTGACCAAAGACTTCCAAACTTTTAACTCTCTCACCGGATATAACATTTTACTTGATTAAAGAAAGGAGATGGGGAACTTGGTAGATGCATTTGCATTGGATATAAAGAGTGGAAATGTTTGCACATTAAGAATTCCACCCATTGGAAACAGGATCATACTTGCAACAGATAATAGAATTTCATTCATCAAAAAGAAAAAAAAAAAAAAAAAAAGATAACAGAATTTCATATTTTGAGGGTTCCACAAGGAAAGAACCATTTTATTTGCCCAAGAAAAGCAACATTCATTCTTTAAACCTCTCCAAACCAAAACCATTCCTGTTAAACAAAGCACTTATACATGCAAACAACCAAATTATATGTTTTAGACACTCCAAATCCCCTACATTGTCCCATTCTTCTTAGTTCTTAATGATTTAGGAGGATGTTCAATGACTGAGAGATGATAAACAGGAAAGTCAGTGAAAGTGGATATAGTTAGGAGATCCAACCACCAAAGGAAACACATTCTAGCCAAACTGTCCTGTTTAAAAAAGAAAAACACCTAAAGATGCAGCTAATAAAAAAAAAAAAAACAGCTTTTACACACCCCAATTCGTATAACTTTCCCGTTCTTCTTAGTTCTTAATGACTTGGAGGATATTCAAAGACTGAGAAATGATAAACAGGGAAGCCAGTTAAGGTGGAGTTAGTTAAGAGATTCTACCACCCAGATATATTGTTATTCAGGTAACAAGCTTCTCAGTGAATTTTTAAACATCCAGGCCCCAAAACGTGACCAGATACAGATAATCATCCAAGGAGATTACAAGATATTTCAAAGGAAGGCTCTTGACTGTGCATCCTAAATTTTAGCCATTCACTTTATTTTCATGCTAAGTTTTTTTTTTTTTTTCTGATCAGTTATTTTCATGCTAAGTTCCTATCAAACTGCTCTTATAAAGTTAATCTGAGACTTGAGTTGCCTTGAAAGTGCATGGAATATGGTTTAAATTTGAAATCATCTTAAAGCCATAGAGCAAAAGTTTAAAGATGATGTCAGCACATTGTCAGGTAAAATATTTCAACCAGAGTACTCATATCATAACACCATCTATGCAACTCCCTAGGCTTTTTGAAGGCCCATCGCCTAGGCAACCAACTAGGGTCATAGATATAAACACTCTACTAGGGGGTGAATAAGTAATTCTACACCTTTGTATACAAATGTCTATGCTATTTTGGTTTAATAGGAACATATGTGAAGCCAAAAATTAGGGCCCTCAATTCTTTCTGCATACAAGTTTTCTACTCCAAACCAATGATTTAGAGACTGTCCTGGATGTCAAACTGGAAAGCTGCCAAGTCACAATTCAGCAGTTCAACCAGTAGTTCATCCATTATTATAATCAAAACCGTCACAAAATAAGGACCCTGTCGGCTGCCTGGTTTACCAGTTTGGATGAGTCAAAGAAGGTTTGAAAACATTGTTGTCAAACTGCATTTATCAAAAAAAAAAAAAAAAAAATCTTTGTTTATAAATTGGGAGGTTATCCATAAATCTTTTCATTTAGGAAACTATCAAAAAAAAATCTTCTAATTGTTCATAAAAAGCACGTGTATAAGTAACATATAATTACATAACATTATGTATAACCATTTATAAGCATTAAAAATGCATAAATTTCCTTATTTTTTGTCACTTCAACATCAACTTGCCTTGCCAGGGCAAAAATGATTTCTACCCTTTGCCAATTCTGAAGCCTCTCGATGTATTACACTCTTGAAAATTCGCAGTCAGACAACTTGAAGAATTCCAGCAAGAGAAAGAAGAAAAGCAGCATCAAGGTTTCTCATCAAAACCATTTCTTAATGAGAAACATCTCTTCTAGGTAAACCTTAAATGCACAAAAAAGAGTTAAGGATAGACATGCTATTCACATACTCAATCTGGAATGAAAAGCTTCCTTTTTCTCTTGATAATATCCAAGGAAACACAACTAACTTTTTTTTTGATAATTGAGGAAACACAACTAACATTGTTATAGGCCTTTCCCATATCCAACTTGCACTCCACTCGGAAAAAAAAAAAAAAAAAATCTGAAAAAAGGTTGATGATTGCACCTATTAGCATAGAAATATCTGAAGTAAAACTAACCAGATGTTTAATATAGATGGTGAACTAGAATGCACAGCCTTCCATAAGGGGATTCTGCAACCCATTACACAGCAGGGACTCATTGATTTTTCAGGAGTTTGAATGCTCAATTTCTGCTGCAAAAAGAAAATCCCCATTCCTTTAAGATTGCAAGTTGTCACCAAGGCTCAAGCTGGTAACCTATCTCTCTCCTATAGTCCATTAATGTTAAGGATTCCGTTGCGGAAGAACAAACCCAAGACCAAAGTCAATTGGCAAATAGAGAAAAACAAGAAGAAAATGCAAAATAGACAAATTCAAGAATGCACACAGAGATCAGCTTATAGCTTACGTCCAAGGGCAGAGGAGTAGAAATTCACTTAGAAAACGGCAATGGAGGATACAATGTTGTGCAACCTCACTCTCACAGAAAATCCTAAACCCCAATACACCTAAGCCTTCCACTCACAGATTCTCTATCATTTTCCGCAAACCAAAGATGCAGAAAAGAGAAAACCCCAACTTAAGATAGCATATTCGGGTCAGACCCAAAAGCTGAGAATGGAGGAGGTGTAGACTGCCACGGGAATCACAGGGATCCACTGCCACCACAGGCCACTATGAAATTTTTCCTTCGGATTTCTTTACAAATGTGGGTTGGGACATGGAGCAAGACACAACAAAGAGTTCAAGGCACAACTCAACAGATTGCACCAGATAATGGACACAAATCCGTTGACATGTCACTGTATTACTCGAACGGAACTATGAATAGTGTCCACATGTTACCATGGTAGCATAAGATTCAACAACCTATTTCAGCCACTTTAGTGGTTCAACTGATAACCCATGATTCCATATTGTTCAGTTTCTAGATGCAACATGTGCGTACTGGAAATTAAGACAATTTTATCTGTGAAAACTTTTAACCTTTTATGTGTCCTGGGGTTTAGTATTAGTTCTTGTTTTTGGTTCATTTAGATGGTGTTTGGTTCCATTGCCGTCTATCAGAAAATCAGCACCAGCTCAGCGCCAAATTGGCATTTCCTCATATGAAGCTTGAAATTTTGTTTGGTTAAGCCATTTATCAAGAAAATGTTTTTCTTGAGTTGTGTTAGAGACATGCATTGGAGAGACACCCTTTTATTGTTTGGCTTACGTGGTGCCTAATGGCACCTTCTGTCATAAAGTAAAAATAAAAGTTTTGTCCCGACTTTCAAGAGAAAATTTGTGCAAAATGTTTTTTTCTGATAAACGGCAATGGAACTAAACAGCCCCTAAAACATCTGACTTCTACTAAACCATTAATCCGTGATTCTGGGAACTGCAAGGATTCTACTTTCGATTAAAGGGAGAGTTCAATATATGGATTTTATGGTTTCACTAAACTGGCATTAGATTCTGAAACACGGATTACTATTATGTATTTACTCCTGCTGGCTGGGCACGGGCAAATATTTGAAAGTGGTAAATCAGTAGGAGTTGCCATCAAACAGGGATAAAGATCATAGCCTTCACTAATATTATTATAAAAAGAAAAGGAAAAAAAAAAAGATTGGGAAAACGGAGTTTTAAGTTAGTTTACAAAAAAACAGGAAACTTTAACAGCAACGAGTCAAATTTCCAATAACTGGTAGCTCCTTAGAGCATGTGCCAAGGGTAAGTCATCATATTGCACAGAATTAATAAGAATTTGGTTATTCAAACAGATTTTACCGGTTTTGCACAAAAACAGGAGTCGTTGTTTAGAATATCGATGAAGTGGAGATGGATTAGATAACACCATCCTTTCGATACTAGTCATATTCTTGGAACTGATGATACGCTCAATTCAGTTCAATAAGCAGGGAAGAAATCAAACTGGTGGATCTGGCTCACAAACACTCAAGGAAGAGGTACTTCCCCCAATTGACGTTTTGTCCAAATGTGAAACCTCGGGTAGAAAAAATCAAAGTGCCAGGTTCAATAATCTCCAAAACATTAATTCAAAGAGAAAAGTTCCAAAAGGGAAAACCCGTTTTAATCCAAAAGGCCCATTAAGAAATGTTTCAACTTTCGACATCTTTCTCTATTAATTTCTAGAAGTTTAAGATTTAGCTCCAAATAACATAGAATGAACATCATTATAGTCCTAGACATTTAAACAACAAAGAAAATGATAAAGGAGAAAGGAAATGGAAGAAAAAGGGAGAGTGAGAGATCAATGGATAAGAATTGGATGAGAGGAGAAGATGAGGAAATATGATGGCGTACCGATTGGGCGTTGTGCCAAGCAAGTCCTCTGTAGACGTTAACAGAGAAAGTGGCTGTGAGATAAATGGTGGCGACGCCCAGTCCGGCCGTAAAGGCCTTGAACGCCCAGTCCCCTACTTTGCCTGCGATCCCCATTTCTTCCCTCCGACCGTATCTATCTTCTCCAAAGTCCAAACCACTTGTATTCAAGAATTACCTATAAAGCTGAGGCATCGAAGTTCCACTCCACCAGCTCCTATTTTATTCCCAAAACCCTGCCTGCCTCAGCCTCAGAGTTGTTACGTTGATTCATATTACACAGCCACGCAATCAAGCAAATTAGGACTTCGGAGTTGACTTGTTAGACATGAAAATACGAAAGCCTGATAGCCAGTTGTCGTGTAATCTATCTAGGTTACACACTAAATGCATCGAATTCGAATGGGATCAGGTTACATCCGAATTCGATTATAAATTTTTAATATCGAAATTGGACGGTGGGTATTGAAAATGAATATTGAAACTTAAATTTCATTAAATATTCAAATATTCTACTCATTATTGATTTAGGTAATTAATAAATATATATTTATATATAATATATAAATATATAAATTATTTATATAATTAAGTATTATATATAAATTATATAAAATGTATAAAAAAATTTATAAATTATATATAAAAATCAAATAATTAGTTGAATTTGGATATTTATTAAATCTAATTAGGTCATATATAAATTTGATTCGATTGTGTCCAATTTTAAATTCAAAATTAGATTTTCAAATAACACTCCTACTCTCCCAACTTGCTTTAGAGAATTCATCCGAAGAAAAGCCCTCCTTTTGTTTTGAACATCATTTGGGCTTCTTAGATTTTTCGCCAAATCTAAGAAATCGAATCTTTGGATTAGATTCTATGATCCGATCACGGATTGGATTCATATCACCCCCTATCCGATCCAATGTGTTATATATTTATAAATATAGATATATAAATATATAATACATATATATATATATGTTATTTATTTATAAATATATTATTTATATTGTATTTTTATAAATTTGTTACATTATTTATTTTTTTATAAAAAACATGTATATAAAATGAAAATAATTAAAAAATACTTAAAATTTTTGTTTTTTCTTTATTTAAATCGGTACTAGTGGGGACCCGTGCGATGCACGGGATTTATTATGCGAAAGATAAATAATAGAAATGTTCATTTACTAAAATATCCCTTATAGTTTCATGGATTCACTAAAATATATCCTATAGTTAGCATTTTACTAAAACACCACTTATAATTTGCAATGGATTTAATCAATTTTCCATTATATGATAGTGGAAAATGACAGTGTTGACCCTAATGTTCATTTAAATAATTTAATCAAAAGAAAATAAAAATAAAATTGCCATTTTTGCCCTTAATAAAACACGGACAACCATTTTATTGGCTATATTTGGTCAATTTTGTTTTCTATATAAAAAAGTGTTAAGGGTATTTTTGGAATAAAAAACCATGGGTGTAATGGCAAAACAAACACTCCTTAATGAAAGGTTGATTAAGTAAATAAGTTATAAAATATATGGGATGTTTTAGTAAAATAAAAACTATAAGGTATGTTTAAGTAAATATGTAAAACTATAAGGTGTGTTCTAGAAATGATCATAATCGAAACACATAAGAGTATACAATTGTTTTATATTTTCAAATTTTTAAATAATAATAGTTATTCATAGTTTATATGCTACTTTTAATAAATTTTTATAATACAAAAATAAAAATAATTAATTTCAATTAGGTTTATTCATCAAATTGATGAAACCGATCAACCCGACCAACTCGACCCAAGTTGGTTAGTTTTCTAGTATTTTAGGTTGGCTTTGGTTCAAAAATTTCCCAATTCGACCAAGTTGGATTATTTTCACTTTGGACATTTGTAAACCAACCAAAATTGAACGACCTAACCATGGATATATATTAATATTTTATATTTTAAATATAGAAAAGTGGGAAATTTCCCATATTTTTAAGTCTAAAATGTTTTATATCCTAAATCTAATGCTTAATTTTTTTTTTTAAATTTGCCCTAGCCTTTAGCCTACCTCTTGCACTCAGCTTTCCTTTGTCCTTCAATGAGACTCCCGTGTTATTAAAATACCCTTATAATTTCATGGATTTACTAAAAATCTACCATATAATTATTATTTTACTAAAACACCACTTATAATTTGCAACGGATTTAATCAATCTTCCATTAGATGATAGTGGAAAATGACAATGTTGACCCTAATGTTCATTTAGATAAATTTAATCAAAAGAAAATAAAAATAAAAATACCATTTTGCCCTTAATAAGACACAAGCAACCACTCTATTGGCTATATTTGGCCAATTTTGTTTTTTGTATAAAAAAGTGTTAAGGGTATTTTTTTGGAATAAAAAATCATGGGTCTAATGGCAAAACAAACACTCCTTAAAGAAATGTTCATTAAGTAAATAAACCGTAAAATATATGGGATATTTTTAGTAAAATGAAAATTATAAGGTAGGTTTAAGTAAATATGTAAAACTATAAGGTGTGCTCTAGTAAATAACTATAATAGAAACACATAAAAGTATACAATTGTTTTATATTTTCAACTTTTTAAATAATTAATAATTATTCATATTTTATATACTAATTTTAATAAAAATTTTTATAATACAAAAATAGCAATAATTAATTTCAATTATGTTTATTCATCAAACTAATGAAGTCGACCAACCCGATCAATTCAACCCGAGTTGGTCGGTTTTTTAGTTTTTTATGTCGATTTTGGTTCAAAAAATTCTCAATTCGACTAAGTTGGATCAGTTTCACTTTGGTCGTTTATAAACCGACCAAAATTTAACGACCTAACCATGGATATATATTAATATTTTATATTTTAAATGTAATTTGTAATATGAAAAAGTGAGAAATTTTCCATATTTCTTAGTCTAAAATGTTTCATTTCGTAAATCGATTTTTTAATAATTGTTGTGAGTAAGGTGGTTAGGCTACGCATAGAAGTCTCCTTGAAAGACGAAGGAAAGCCAAGTGTAGGAGGTAGGCTAAAGGCTAGGCAAATGAGGTGATGTAATGATTATCTCATTATAAATTGGACCCCTATTTATATGAAGGGATCCCGAGGTCTCGAAAGGAATGAGCCAAAAGTATTTGGTTCCCATTAAAAAAGGAAATCTTCAATTTTATTTTAGTTATTAGGGAACACTACTAGGGTTTCGCCACGTGTCTTATGAGATATTTCAATGACGAACTTTCCTTTCATTTGAGGATTCTCATAATACACGTGTGCTACCTCATTTCATGACCATTTTAAAAAGGCATGACATGAGTGACGTCACTATTTAGCTTGCGCACTCTCATTATGCTCATGGGGTGTCCTGTCACGCGCATTATATAACGATGCATGTGTTTCTATTATTTGTTTCTGATCTGCGGTGAGTCTGCACTCATCACAGTTTAGTGATGACTTTAAACTCATTGCAAGTCCACGCGGGTTCAGAGTTCATCGCGATTTTGCGATGAATTTAAACTCATCGCAAGTCTACGTAGGTCCAAAGTTCATCTCAACCTGTTTTGATTATGAATTCATCACAGATGTGTGATGAATTATGAACTCATCATAGATGTGCGATAAGTTATGGACTCATTACAGGCATTTGGATAGTATTAGTTTGACACCTCCTCTGTTTTGATGGTCTAAGTGACCACTATTTACCTACAATTGCACTGTAATTTTTAAAATTAAACTTAACTTTTAAGTTTAAATCTTTTGAACCAACTAACCTTTTGTGAAAATCGACCCAAACCGATACAACTTGAGTGGGTCGGTTTTCACAAAAGGTCAGTCGATTTCAGCTAACCAACTCCCCAACCTGACCAGGTCAATTTGGTGGTCAAATAGCCTATAACCTGTTCGAACCAACTCATGAACACTTATAACTTTAGCTAAATTTATAGTCTTATCTCCGATAAATAACAATAGTTTAATCTACAATATTTATTAAAAATTTATAGTGAAAACACACAACTATAGAAAATATATTGATAATGAAAAAATACAATAATTACAAATATACAATAAGTACTAAAAATATATTAACAGTCACTAAATAGAATAATCTTAAATAATAGTTTAATCTCTAATAAATATTAATTAATCGATAAGTTATAACAAAAATACAATAAATACAATAACTACAATAAATTATATTTAAAAATTTAATAATAGTAATTTAATCTCCAATAATTATTGAAAGTTTTCTATTAAATAACAAAAAAAATTATACATAATCATTGAAAAATACATTTATCACTTTATATAAGTGAAATTAGTTATTTACAATATTATGTAAAAATATTGAATTATTATTAAATTCAATATTATGTTATAATTATTCTTCTATTTTTTAGATTTTTTTTAATTTATTACATAAGTTATTTATTTAAACTGTTTAAAATCTAGTTATGTTAAATATTTTGTTATTTAAATACTTAAATAATATTTAAAGTATTTAAATTTTAAAATATTAATTATTTATTAAAGTTAATTATCCATAAAATCATAATTTATACTATTATTACATAATTTCATATTTTTGTAATATATTAAATTATTGTTAATTTCAATATTATGTTATAATTATTTTTCCACTTTGAAGATTTTTTTTTAATTTATTACATAATTCTGTTATTTTAAGTATTTAAAATCTAGTTATGATAAATATTTAAATAATATATAAAATATTTAAAGTTTGTTGTTATTTAAATTTTATTTATTTAAAGCTATTGCATATTATTAAATATTTGAAAAACATTTAAATTGATAATCCAAAAAATATAATTTCAACTGTTAGTACAGAATTTTGTGATATATTTTGTAAAATTATAAAATTATTTTTTTGTGTTTTTAATAAATATTTTAAAAGTTATTATATAATTTTGTTAGAATATTTAAATAATTCTTAAATTTTGTAATCCAAACTTTTTTAGATACATATAGATAAAAAGTAGGGGAGAGGATAAATAAGAATTAGAGATAATTTAGGAGAAAAACTCTCAAATAAATTAGAGATAATTTTGCAGATAAATAAGATTTAGAGATAATTTAAAAGATAAATAGGAATTAAAGATAATTTTGAAGAAAGTGAGGGAAGTAGTTTAGGATTATAGGAAAATGCATCTCATTGGTTGTTTAATCTAATCAAGATAAGAAGTGATTAATTAATGTTTTATATTTTTAAAACAAAAGAAAATAAAAAAATACAAAAAATGAAGAAAATAGATAAATAGCTTCTTTCAAAGGAGAGCTATGCTGACATGGACGGACCAATTTTAATATATATATATTTCTTTTAATAATTTATTATTTTTTTTAAAAAGTTAGGTCAAACCAGATTCGATAGGATTCAAGTTCAGATCAAGTCCTATCAGATCCAATCGGATCAAATCCGACATAAACAGTGTCAAATCATATTCAAATATATCCTGATTCGAATCCGATTCAATCCGTTTGCATCCCTACCGCCAAACATGCAAGTTTTGAAAGCAAGATTCAGCACAATTACTTTCCAACTCATATTGGGCTACTCTAAGATCGTAGTCCATCTTCGTTTCTGATTTGCCTTCATACATTACAAAAAATAGAATCAAAAGATTGGTTTTTCTAGTATTTATTTATTTATGTTGGTTTCGGGGGATTCTTTTTTTTTTATCAATCAGGAGTTGCAAGCTTTAATGTCCAAAACTCCAAACTAGTTCACTTTTCATAGCATTAGCCATTAGGGTCAGCATGAATTGATGTTTGGATGCCGCAAGGTTGTTGGTTATCAATTGTCGTAGGAGAAGGGAAACCGGGAAAGATGACAACATCCCAAAAGCAATGTTCTTGTGCTTCTGAATTTCTGATCATGAATTGAATTGCTTTCATAATTCTTATCATCCATTGCATTGAGCACGGCCCATGACCTTGGTCGACACTTGAGTCTAGAGCAACATCATGGCCCCCTAGCAGTCAAGACCATGGGATGAGAACAGATACAGAGGGGTAGAACCATTTTCCTTTCCTCATAAATAAAAGCGAAAAGAAATAGTTAAGTAGCAAAAGAAGAACCTAATCTGAGTCTGACAAATGACCCAATACGAAAGAAAAATAGATTTTAGGTAAAACGTCATCTGGACAGGTGATATCATCCACTTTAGCCTGATATGAGAGAAGTTTTTTTTCCCCACATGAAACGTGCGTTTGTCAAAAGACTCGGAACCTACCTTCTTGGGTTGGAGCTGCATATTAAAAGCACTCTTTTTGTCTGAAGTGTTGTGTCAGCACTCTGCGTCTCAAAGGATCCATAAGAGCTGCAACATCTAACAATGTTGATTAGCAGTCACCATAGAAAAGAAAGGACAGAAAATGCCCACTACCTTCCCCTCCTCCCTGGCATCTGGCAAGTACTACCTACCACCAAAGTAGTAGGAAAAGAAAGAAAGAAGAATTACCTGGGCTAAACAGATTTAGCAAATGTGTATATGTATAATGTGAATTATCTGCAGATCGATTCTTTTTCAAACTTTGTTCTGTGTGGCCAAAGTGAGGCTATTCGAATATTTTGAAAGCGTGGAATCCAGCTTCTCGGCTATTAATGTAATCCAGGCCTACAAAACAAAGTTAGGGCACTACTAAAATTTAACCCAATAGTTTCCAAGAACTTTCTAAAAGGATTATTGAAAATGTGTTGATTATGATGCGCAAAACAATCTGAATAGACATAATATATGTGATAAATCATTTTATAGTCAATTTAAGTTTCGATATATGGGGCAAAAGATTTAAATCACATATTAATAAGAGAATAATATTCATTAAAAGAAATTTGTGCAAGTTTGTCTACTTATGGCCATTAGGCTCAGTTTGGAAGGAGTACAAATACAAATATGTAGAGTGCAAAACTATGTATTTTGTATATATTTGTATTTATACTCCTTTCAAACTGAGCCTTAAGTGAAATGACTAAACCGAAACTTTCTTTTGGCTACTAGCCTAAAATGAAACTTGAAGGACCGAAGAAATCAACCACAAATCAGAAACTTCTACATTTGCCAGATTAAATACATATTTTCTTGGAGGGGCAATGAAATGTCAGGCAGACAAGCGTGAGGATATGGGTGGAACTCTGAGAATAATCACTTTGTGAAAATTGCCAAAAGGATGGATCCTAAGGTCCATATCCAATCCACACTTTCCAAGACCATAAATGGTTGGGACAGAACAAGACAGCATTACTTATGAAATAAGTTTAAAACAATAAAATATTATAGTATTAGAGTTATTATATGTAATTGGTATAATTTGACTCAAATTATACCAATATTATAGTATTAGGTTCTCTGACAAGTTGGAGTAGAGACCTGGGATCGAATCCCGCTGCCACCAGGGGTTGGGGGGTTAAGGGAAAGGGGATGGGCTACCCCCTGTTGTGTAGCCCCATGAAGCGAAAAAAATTAACATTTCTAAGAACCATGCAACCAAAAACCCGTTTTAACTGCCAACTCCCATTCTAATGGTTCAAGCATTCAGTCTGGTCGAAGTGACAACATTGGTGGGTAGATAATCAGTTCATTACAAGAAACATAATACTTCCAACTAAAAACATAATATTTCTAAAACAAGCTTAAATTTTAAAAGCTAACAAACAAAGATCACCTGATCACTAGTAGTGAAGCCCCTGATTGTGTCACCACCAATTACTGCGATTCCTTTATCTCCAAGTGGCTGCAAGATGACTGCCTAGTGAAAAGAAAATGATCAATAAACTAGCGTTTAATAAAGGGGGGGATGTCAACTAGATGAGTATTATAAATGACACATTTTACTATAAGATCTTTATGGTAACAAAAATGGTAAGGTACCATACATTACCAGAATGAAATAAGTTTCTTGTGAGCAATGCACAGACATGTAGTAGCCCTACAAAATCTTAGACGCTGCTCCCAAGGTTAATAGCCCATTTTTGTATAGAAAATCAGCCTAGCAACAGCATCTGTCTGACCATGCTTATGTGTATATAAGAAAATGTATGATTGTACCATAGAAAGGGAAAACTACCAATACAAGGCTAAATATGTGTAACAGGGCTACACAAACTCCTCTCAGACTGTACAATAATATTTCAACAATAAGATACTATACCCTGGTGGCTTTAAATAGAATGGATTGGCAAAACAGGATTCATGTAGCCAACCCCAAAAAAGGATACTACCCTGGTTGGTTCATTCATTTTGTACCAAAAAAAAGGACAAAATCAGATCTATGTGCCTAGAGAATGGTCAAGGCTCAAACTGACCAGAATTCCCATCAACACCCCCTGCTCCCCTGAAAAAAGAAAAATAACCATATGCAAGTTTACTATAAGCTAACTACAACTTCATCTTTTTCATATATCCATAAAGGGGCAATTGTATATCCATTTGCTTGTAATAGAAGATAGTGGATCCAAGGGAAGACAAGTCACCCTCAAACAAGGCTTCATGGCAACAATATACAATTTGGGAAGATATTGGATCAAGTACTACCTGTGTATTTGAAGGCAGAAATGGCAGCTCAGATCTCGCAGGATAAAGAGATAGGTTGGCCAAGTAGCTTTCTGCAAATAAATAAATGAACACTACTCATCTCAGTATTAAGAAGTTAAGATGACTCTGTATACCAGTGTATAGACTTAATTGAAAATTTCCTATATTATTGGGATTACTTACGTGATCCAGATTTCATAACACTTTCATAAAGCGACCCTTGCACCAATTTAGTGGTATCAACAATAATAGGATCACCACTATTTATGGAAGATTCTGCTGCAACCCCAATTTGAAGAACACAATTGTCTTGGTAAACAATTATCAATGACCTGCAGCAGGTTGCAACTGACAGAGATTCCCATATCCTGATGATTAGAAAGAAGAATGAGATTATTACTTATTATCCTAATGTTAATATTAAAAAGAAGTAAAAAGAAGTAATGCCATCCTAAGTTACTTATTCCATGCACTGAAATCCATGTGTAGCTACTAGCTAGCAGGTATCTCTTTATCTACATGTTTTTTTTTTTTTTTGATGGGTGACATAACTTCTATTAATTAGGAAAAAGAATCTGTATCATCGTATGTACACCATATGTGTAAAAAGATATGTTTTTACTCTACATGTTTTTAGTACAATGGTTTTATCTTTACTCTCTTGCCCATCATTAGATTTAGACATGATGATATCTTCTGATCAAACCCCTTGTTAACTCAACCAATAGCTTGCGGTTTGGCCAAGTATGCAAATGTAAGTATGCCACCTTGGCATTTCTCATTGACCATTCACTTAAAATGCAATAGGATCCTCCTTCCCTCATAGCCTAACTCTTCATATCAGGACTGGTACTTCAAAGTCCGGCTATAAATAAAAAAGTGTTTCTTTTTTTTTTCTATGGTTTCAAAGTGACAAGGACTGACAAAGCTTTAGCCAGTTCAAGGAAGTGGAGCAAAGTATGCTAGCAAAGGGATGCAAAAAGAAATTCCATGAATATTACACACTCTGGAGTTTCCCTAGCTAAGATAGCCATATGCTTAGTTATTAGTAAGCAATGTCATGCTGCAGATTCAGTCCTGCATTTTTTTTCTTTTTTTGTAACAGTTCCCTTGTTTGTATATAAACAACAAAATACTTCAATAGTTGTATACCTTGCTCGTTTGCTTAAAACTTGTACAATTACGGTTCAAGGTATGTGTTGAAAATTAAAATTATATTTGTATTTCAAAAAAAAAATCTTATGAATCTTCTTATTATTTTAAATCCTTCACACTTTTTACATTGGACACTTTTTTATTCAGTTTTGGTATCGTAACTTTTCTGAATTTCAAGAGACACATTTGGAAAGCTGTTCACCTGTTAATCTAATGAAAAGAATTGGCATATGATATAATAGAAAACAAGTAGACAAAATGGATCCTTTATCTATATTTTTCTGTGTTTTAAAGATAACATACCACAGTAGTTCAGAAACTACATAATCAGGAAGATCATAATGTATCCTCTGGCATGTCACACCTTGAGGATTTACCTGTAACCAGAGATTCATAATCAGGAACTTTATTGCCATCAAAAGCGACAGAACTAGAAAATAAAAAAGAATAAACTCAATCAGAAAAAAGAGCATTGCTGTAAATGGATGATGTGAAATACTCACCACAGAGATAGATTTTGGTCGGATTGACAGCCATACCAAACCAGTGAGAACATTGGTAACAGCTAGACCAAGTGTAAGTAAATCTGCTCTTGATTGTGAACTGCCAGGTAAAAGAACTTGAATGTAAGCACTAAGCATGTGCCAGCAAAGGAGATAAATGACAATAATTTCAAACTGATGCTGAAAAATCAATGTACCAGAATGACAAGAATCACAAGATATATTACAGTTTCTAATCAAAAGGAGAAAGAAAAAGATTATTACCCAATGTTGGTCCTAGATACTGGGATCTTGGGAAACAAAAGTGGAAAAAAAAGAAGACATACTTCAGCAAGCTTTACCAGAAATAGATAAAAGTTTGCGAACCCATTAAGAGTTTAGTTAAATTCCAAGGATTTAGGCTCCATAACCAACATTTGAAGTTGAGAAAGAAAGACTCCTCTTCGCCTTAAACCCAAACCCAAGAGAAAGGAGGACTACTGCATCATTAAGCAATAAGAACCCATATTTTCTGGGGCCACTCACTTCATCATTGTTCTTTTCTGCTGTGTTTGGTTTGAAAGAAAAGGTAGGGAAAGGTATGCTTTCTTTCAAACCAAATACAGCCTTCTTATCTTATTCTCCTGGAGTCCATGTATGCCATCAAATATTTTCCAAAATGCCCGTTTCAAATCAAACAGATTTATTTCTGCTACAATTTTCCTAAACAAGAATGGCAGGAATGCTCTTTTGTGCGATTCCAGGTTTCCAATAAAGATTGTATTATTGGACTTCCAATTGTTATAAGCTGATTTGCTTCCTCTATGCTTGTTTCCAGCAGGTAATGGCAACCCAGAACCTCTTCAAATCATGCAAGTGAAATCTAAATCGTCAACGCTTATATACCCTCTAAACTTAGGTGGAAAAAGGTGAAAGAATGGTTTGTCACATCATGGTCCATTGAACTATGTCAGGGATTAATAGATCTCATATCCCATTGAACCTATTCCGGTTGATGGAATCAAAGAGGTGAAATTGATTATTCATCAAGCCTGGACTCGTCTACTCTGCTCGTTCTGAGGGATGGAAAAACTAATGCAGCCTGGTTGCTATTTTGTCGCACTTTGGGGTCTATAGCAATGTTTGATAAAAATAAGAGAATGACTGGTCAAGTTAAGTCAGCTTATTTGAAGTGGTACATGGCGTAATATTTCACAACCGCTTGTTTCGGAACATGACGTCATCAATCGGAATGATAAAACCCATAGTGACCTAGTGGGTATAGAAACAATTCACCATGCTCCTTTCCTATGAATGATAAAACTCAATAATAGAAAAACGAAAGCGAACCATATAATGCTGATGGCGCGAGTTAAATTTTGCAAAATCGAGAGAAGGGTGAGGAAGACGAATAACCGATTTGTATGAGAAGAGCAGGGTTGAGAGTAAAAAATTTTACCTGCTGGCATCAGCGACAGGGGCGATACCTGAGATACTGCGGTTGAAAAGAACGGCCAAGAGGGAGAGTCCTCCCACGTAGATAGGCAAGCTTCGAACTGTATCGTCGTTGTTGGAGACCCAATCTGCTACCCAATCCTTCTTTGGCTTTGGTCCTCTGTATCCTCCCTTTTCAATGAAGCGAAAAAGATTTGTTTCGAGTGCTGATAAAATGAGAGAGAGTGGAGGGGAGGAGCTGGGTGCAATTTCAGTACCTGAACATCCGACGAAGCCCTAAGGGAGCGCGGGAAGATGGGAAGACAACGACGAGGAAGATGACGTATTGGAATCCATGAAATGGAACGGAGCAGGGCGCCCGCTTCCATCTGACGGTTTTCTCCTTGTCGGAGAGGATAATCTTATCATGACCTGTTAGTTGTTACGCGCCCTTTTATTGCGTGATAAGACACTCGCTAGTCGGAGTCGTATCTGCTACGCACACGATATTACAGCTGCGCGTTGGGAATATCTCTCCTCATTCATTGGAGATGTTCGGATAATCGGATGTTCCCAATGTCACTGGGAGGTCGGTGTGAGGAATTGAGATCTTCTGTTTCCAACCCTTTATCAACAATCTAACACCCCTGGAACCCGTCATATACTCATGTATGACATTAGGTTAGTAAAGGGTTGGAACGTGTTTTATTGGCAAATGATCCGAACTCGCGTGTGAAAGGCGCTCTGTGAGGAGCAGATCCCAATTTCAGTCGAATCCTCATAGAACGCTTCTCACAGCATATTTCAGCCGTAGATCGGGAACATCTCCAATTCTTATCTATTATTATTATTCATGGATGATGTTCCCAATAAAAAGTGGGATGTGGCTGTGAGGTGGGTGTGAAGAGCATATCCCAATTATCCTCAGCCGGCGCAGGTCCGGTTTAACCTGTCAACCTTGAATAGACATTCGCCGTATGCGGATTGATGCCACAGTGGACTGAAAATGAAATTTGGGGGAGTTTTTTTTCGCATGTGCAAAACACAGGGGAGGTGTAAACAATTGTCAGAAAACGCAGGGAAGGTTTTGGAAACCCATCTCTCACAAAATTTGAAATTTGAGTTCTAAAAGAGAAACACTGTAATAAACAACATATCAGTCATCAGTATTTGAGTTCCTAGACAACAATGCTATGATCATTAGTGGTTACAAGAATTAAAGTCATTAATGGGATCCCTGGATCACGGTTTCCCCCAGCCGTTCACCATTAGATCCGAATACCCCGCTATGCACGCTTTGTCAAATCCAGGATCCGATGGTGAACAGACGGGTACTACTGTTTGGATGGACGATGGATTTCCTTCCTCATCTACTACGCGACCACGCCGAGTGGAGGAGTTGGATCAAGCCTGGAACCGGAAGCCAAGTAGCAGCGGCCTCTCCCCTTGGCATCCAAAGCCAGTTGCTGCCTGAACATCACGATGAAAGCTTCCACCTTCGCGTTGAACTCTTCCTTTGACAGCCGAGAGCCTTCGCCGTCGTCGACAGGCTCCGTGAATATGGCGGCGTCTTCACCTTCACCATCACCCAAGTGGTTGTGCAACTCTACTTTCGCCGTCACCGACTCACTACACCGCTTCTTGCTCTTGTTGTTGTTGTTGATGATGAATCGGGCATCAAAGTTACAGTCTGTGGTGCTTCTGTGGGTACCCGACTTGGAGGAGTGAATGGACACGAAAAGGATGCTTAAGAGGACGAGATTGAGTAGAAGGAAAACCAGAGCGCGCCATTGCTCGAGAAGGGATGTCAGGGCGTGTTTCAGACCAGCTACAAGCAAAATTGTGCCCAGCATCACAAACGCAATCTCCAACTCTTGTGCTACATTTCCATTCTCCTTCTTCTTCTTCATCTTCTCTCCTTCCATTGTCCTTCGTTAACTGGAAGTCTGGAACTATTAAAAACTCTTCTCTCGCTGGCTGGGGGCGCCTTTCTTCCCAAGGAACAAATTTATAGGCCAGAGAATCGGAAAGAGCCCATCATCTTTAGATTATTTACGAAAACACCTCTGTGACCTGAGCAACCCACTACCACCAGTTGACGGCTTGACGCATGCTATTTTTAATGATCAGGAGGCCCGACATTATCATTGGCAATGTTTGGGTTTAAGCATTTAAGTGTTGTTGGCTTTAAGCATTTCTTCAATTTTGGATGGGCTCGGGCCGGGTTTGGGTTTGACTAAACTCTTCAAATTGAAGTACCCGAGTTCAAACCTTCGTCCAACACAAGCCTTATTATATTCAATCTCAATCAAAGCCATTGGATGATGATTTAACCGGTGGAGCGCTTGATTTGATATGTAATTAAATGCAAGAAATCATGGTTATAACTTATAAATTGGGATGTCAACCGTGTCCGACTATCCAGGTACAGAATTACAATATCAGTTTAATGGGGTGGAGCCTGAAGGCCCTGAACCCATCCCAACTCTTATGGTACCAAAAAAGAATGGCACCTAGAAGAGCTTACACAAACAAAATCTAATGTACATTTGAGTGAAAATACAGGTTGATTGGCTATTAATTTGTTGGTGGAGACCGTACATCTTCAGTATCATATTGGGACTTACATACCCAGATGAATATGTTTATATAAAATTAACATGTATTTTATTATTAAAGTTTGGTTAAAAATTATAGTAGAGTTATTCTTAATTTATTTTATAAATATACATATATAGCCTTATTTTGCATTTTTTTTTAGTTTAACTTATTAATAGTATATATAGTATCTGAATTGTATATAAATGCAACAGAAAAAAAAAATCTGATTTGAAATTGAATAAAATAAACTATTAGATTGGATTTAAATCTAGGTCCGACCCGAGTCCAATCCGTTTGGGGCGAGGGGGGTAGCTGGCGCCTGTAAAGGCAAGCACAACATGCTTTATGCTAAAATCAGAGTCAGACAAATTAGCAGAATAGAATGGATGGGGTTGTGTGTGTTGCAGAAAAGAAACGACATCATCATTAGTCTCGGCACATGAAGGGTCCTCTTTCTCTTGGTCCCGGCTTCTGACTTCTGATAGATAAATAAATAATATAAAATTCTGTATAAGCTTAAACTTTCGATACCATTATTACGCTTCTGGAGTCTGGACACATCCTTCATCGTAGATTGTTATTAATTTATTATCTCAAATTACTTGAATGACATCTCATGTGTTAACTGTGTAACTGTGAGCCATGAAAAAAAAAAAAAACTTTATGCACTGAAAAGATAAAAGCAAGAAATCATTCAATCCTTATTCTGCCACTTGGCTGTTATCAAACGGCAAACTTTGCCTTATTGTGGCAACTCTCAAATCTCATCATCTTCTGTCCTGATGGCCTCAAACGCAACCTCAACTCGAGTACTACACCATTTCTTTGGAATCCGTGGTCGGATCGGGCCTGCCCCTGCTTGCTTTCTAACCCAATGGTTTCAAATAGCTGCCCATTCATTGGGGTGACAACTAGCCGAGCTTTTCACGAGTTGCTCACTCGGCTCGTGAAAAGTTCGGCTTGGCTTAGTTTCAACTGAGCTCGAGTTCGAGCCTATTAGAGTTCGCCGACTCGAATATATATATTTATATAATAAAATTATAGAAAATAAAATATATAATAAAAATATTATAATTCTTAATTTTTTAAATATAAAATAAAAAAAATTATATATAATTTTTATTTTTAAAATATTTTTTCTAAATATTTTTATAATAAAATATTTTTATAAAATATAAAACGAGCCAAGCTCAAGTTCAAGGTTCTGGCTCAAAACGAGCTCGAGTTCGAGCCGAGCTCAAGTCTAGTATTATTCGGCTCAAGTCCACCCCTACCTCTCGATGATTTGTATCCTTCTAATTTTTAGGTAAGCAAAAGCGATCGTCCATTCATTGGCACCAACACTATTACACATGTTTGATGGGTCCTAAGTAGAAGCGTCAATTGGACTAAATTTGATCTAACTTGATCTAGTCCAATGTGAGTCCACTTACAAATGGACTGAACCCAATTCAGTCCAAATCCAATTCAAACCATTAATATGTAAATGGACTGGATTGGATCCAATACAAATCGAATGAAATATCAAAAATTATATAAAAAACAGAATATATAAAAAATTACAAAAATATATCCTTTCACTTTCGGCATTTAAAAAGCACTTTCGTAAAATTGATTTTGTAAAAGTATTTTCATACTTTTATAAAAACTAAAAAGTACTTCCGTAAAAGTACTTCTGTAAAAGTGCTTTCATAAAAATACTTTTTATAAAAATGCTTTCGTAAAAGTATTTTTATAAAAATGATTTTATGCCGACTTTAATTCTGATTGGTTTTAAATTGGACAAGGGTTTGGCTTCATAATCAGATTATTAAAAATTTGGTTTAAATCCAATTCAGACCAATAAAAATATGGACCAATTTATTTTGGATTGGCCCAATTCAATAATTACAACGGACTGTCCAAATTCAATTTAATAAGGTTTGGATCGAATTAGATCAAATCCAAAACGGTCGATTGGCACCCCTAGTACTAAGCACCAAAATCTTAAAAAAAAAGGTTATATAAGGCTTCCTACATGGTAAGTCGGTGACTGACTAGTGATGGCTGATGGATCCTCTCTTAAACCAATTGGCTTGATCACCGTCTACCATTTGGGTGGGATCAGATTCTGTCCTATTGGGAACATCTATATTTTTATTCATTGGAAGATGTTCTTGGACTTGAAGTGTTGTGAGAATAGAGGCAGTTTTAGCCTCAGATCCACGGCCCACGGAGCCAGAACTTCACGAACCCCCCCCCCACCCCCCCCCACACACTTAGACCTGGCAAAAAGTTGATCCAATCCGCGAACCCAACCTGACCCAACCCCAAAAAACTGGGTTAGGGTCTTGTATTCAGCTACCTGAATGTGAAAATGACCCGATCCGACCCAACCTGGAAAACACTAGATTGGGTTGGACATGAGTCAACTCGCTAACCGATTGTCAAGTCTAATTGGGACTATTTATGCATTGTTAGAAGTTTCCACTCTTTATTTTTTTTTTCTATTTTGTCTTTACTCTTTAAATTGTTAAATGTTCAAGTTTTTTTTATTTTATATTTGGAATTTTAAGGTTAATTCCTTTAATTTTGACATTTTTCACGAGTTTTTCTTTATTTTTTTTAATTTCAGTTATTTTTTGAGATGACCTGAATTGACCCATGGGTCAACCCTAACCCAAACATTTAGCGTTAGGGTCTAGCATTTGATAACCCAACCCAAAATTCAACCCGACCCAAAATCAACTCGAAGTGTCTTGACCCAACCCGAACCTGACCCACCCAACCCAATTGCCAGGTCTACACACCCCACAAGCATACATAATCAATCACAAAGTGAACACGCCAGTGTTCAATTACATAGATCTACATGGGCCTACATAAACCATGTGTATAGAACACTGGTGTTATGGGCATGCCAGCCGGAAGCACACTGCGGCGCAGTCATAAGGCAATAGCACGCACAGCGGGCCGCCCAGCCGCACGCACCGCCTGGCAGCGTGCAACACGCACCTGTTATGGGCCACCGCCCGGC